CTCTCTCTCTCTCTCTCTCTCTCTCTCTCTCTCTCTCTCTCGCTCTCTCTCTCGCTCTCGCTCTCGCTCTCTCTCTCTCTCTCTCTCTCTCTCTCTCTCTCTGGCTGTATCTGTCTCTCTACCTCCATGGGTTGCAGCTAACCTCAGGTGCTTCTATTTGGTGGCCTTCCATGCTTCTACATCTCTGTTCGAGCTGCCTCTGTCTCGGACGTTCAGCTCAGGGCGCTTGGGGATTGCTTCGAATTTGGTTTCGACCAATCGCGCAGGGCCCTCCCCAGGTTTTTCATGTTCCGATGCCAACGAGGCTCCCCCATGAGCAAGAAGTGCAGAAGCGTAGCGTTTTGGATCCTCCGGTTCCGCGCAGGGTTTGAAGTGTTTTGCTAGGGTCTCAGCCGGTGGAGATGTCCCGTGAGATCCGTGAAACACATCAGTCGGTTCTTGCAGTTTTTTGCGCCTGTTTGGGTGCCACCTCCCATGCTTGCACTGTAGACTGCGAACTTCCGGCGGGGCAGGTGCAGTTCAAAATGGTGAGATCAGATCAGGACGAACCAGAGAATATGGTCAAGTCAGTCGTGTCCTTGTGAACCCAAGCTTTCTTCATGGCGCTAACTCGGCTGCAGCTTGCCCCCACGAGAGCATCCGTCGAGGGAGAGTTTCCAGACAGGACGGGGAAAGAGGGAGACAGCAGCTACGCCCGCTCTTGCATCCTGTTGACAGCAGAGAAGGAACATCAAAGAACCCCACTCGTCAGAGAGAGCAACGCGGCAGAGCAGCAGATCAGTAACCGGAAAACACCGGCCCCTTGGAACGTGAGAAGCTTGAAACGCACAACAGCGAGGTGCAGTCGATGTGCAGCGACACCGACATGGCGGAGCAAATCAAGACACTGCAGCGGGCGCACGCGGCTTCTTGCCAGTTCTAGCGTGTTCTGAGAGCCTTTGCCTGCTTGCTCCCGGAATCTCCCGGCTGTGCCATTAAGGCTTTGTTTGTCATCTTTCTGGCAAGCCGTATGCTCGGTCGGGCTGCATAGGGCACAAAATTCGCACAGGAAATGCGCTCAGGTATCGCCTTGGAAACAGCCGAGCTCTGAGCATAGGACATCATAGACCGATCGCCGCTTCTGACGCTCTGTGCTTGAGGCTGGCCATGCTGCGAGGACGAAGTCGAAAGAGCAGTGAGCAAAAAAGAGTGGTCCATGGGCGTGCGTAGCGCTAAACTTGTATCTGACAAGACAAAGAACACTTGCGATGTCTGCAGGGCTCACAGCTTTCCTTTGTTGCTTGAGAAAGTTAGGATCTTAAGTGCCATGTGAGCGCTGCGCGGCCGCGGGGGGCGCGGGGGGTGCGGATGCCGGAGACAGTCTCGGGTCTGGCGAGCGAGCTCCTTGTCGCTCTCTGCAGAGCTCAGCGGGGTTGTGCCAGTGCTGCGGCTCAGGCTCAGGAGTGATAACCGTGGAAGCCATCAGGAGAGCCCTGAGCCTGCAAAGTCGGGTCGTGCAGATTGGGTAAAGATAGATTGCTTTCTGACAGGAAGCCAATGCCGATCACGGCAGCAGCGGTCCGTTGCTGCAGAGACGAGGCGGGGGACAGCGCACCTTATTCTCTGGGTTTGTCAAGTTGCAAGTGCCATGTTGTCCTTGCAGGCTCACAGATGACACTGCAAACGAGAGCAACGACCGACGGAGCCGGGCATTTCACTGTCACTGCTGCCCGCTTGCCCGAGCTGATCGACGAGATCGGCATCGGCATGTTTCAGATCATTCAGTTCCTGCCCGTCCTTTTCGTCCCCCTCTGCGAGGGCGCCAACATCCTCGTGCCTCGACAGCCAGAAGTGGCAAGGCCCTCTTTCAATCCCCCCCCTGATCTCCTCCGAGGTGATGACGAACGTGACGCACGCCTTGAAGCAGAGCTTCCAGCTCAGCAGCTGGCAGGCCGGGAGCCTCGACACTCAGATGCAAGAGCTCTCGCCACGGCCACGGTTTGCCCCTTCCGACGGAGAGACTCTAAGGATGCTTTCTCCTTCTTGGGGCTTGCGCTCGGCCACTACGTCGCGGGCTTTCTTGCAGATCTGCGAGGTCGACGCCTCCCCATGGTTCTCTCTTTCCTTGGCATGTGCCCCTCCCAGCTTTTGAGAACAGTGTTTTTGTATTTGAGTTTGCTTCTTGGCAAGTCGAGGACCTTGGGTAGCGTGCTGATGACCCTGGCCACGGGCTACGAGGCAATGGTGATGCTGCGGCTGCTGCATGGCCTTTGCTGTGGACTGGGGGTTCCACCGGCCGCGTCGATGATCGCTGAGACCGTGCCAACCGCCTGGCCAAACCCTCAGTAAAAGTCGCCCTGCTCGCTCGCTAGGTCTCTCTCTGTCTCTCTCTGTCTCTCTCTCTCTCTCTCTCTCTCTGTTAAGTGACACCACCCCCAGAATGCTCCCAATGAACATGATGCATTATCGACTCGTCCTTTACGCAGTCTTTGCCGCTCTTGGCTGGGCCTTGCCCAGCGAGTGGAGAAGGTAAGTCCTTTCTTCTTGAGGCGCGAGTTTGAATAAATTTGTTTTTGTGCAGGAACTCCGGAGTTTATCGAACATGATGAATGACCCCCCCTTTTTTGGCGAGTTGCCAAGCCTGTTCTTTCCAGGAGTATCACCGATCGCAGGACCGCAACGGCGGAGGAAGAGGAGGAGGATCGGGCTCCGGAGGAGGAAAAAAGCGTGGCGAAGCAAACAAAAGCCGCCGCTAAGTCGATGACAAGCCGGCAGTACCGTGCTCCCATGTGGCAGCATTGATTATCCATGTTGGCTTGTTTGCGAAGAAGTCTCCGTGTTGGATCGAGGAGCACAGTTGAGGGGCGAGTTACTAGTTAGGCCGAACGAAAGCGTCTTGTGAGCGTTGAACAATCTTGATCACATTGGGAACAAGGCTCGAGACTTTGCACATTGGGCGTCATGCAGGTTGTTTCGGAAACCCACTTGTTTGACTATCTGTCTCCAAAAAGATCCAAGCACGGATTTTGTACCCCGTGGTTCAAGGATGTTGTAAATGCCGATCGCGTGCACTCTCATAGTAGGAATAAGAGACATAGCTGAAAGGGCGGATTAACCCATGTCGTACCGATATACGTACCCGTAACCGCCCTCCTGGCTCCGTGGTACCGTTGCGCTGAAGGACGGGGAAAGGCTGTGGAAGTGGTGGGCGTGGTGGAGGCGGTGGGGGCGGTGATGGCGATGATGGCGGTGGGGCGGGGACAGAGGAGTTATGGGCGGGGGGGAGGTGGGGTGCCATGACTTGCCTTGCATGATTGTCCATGTCATGCCTCGCTTGGCCTTGATTGTGATTGCTTGCATCTGGACCTGAAAAGCGCCATGAATCGCCTTGTTTGTTCATGTCATGCCATGCTGAGCCTTGGTTAAGTGGGGTTTTCCTTAGAGAATCAAATTCACAAATTCGGGCTTCGCTGCGTGTGCGGAAGGCCGTGGAAGGGTCCGCGCGATAGTGGTGGCAAGGCCGTTTTGGAAGAAATAATGACGGACAACCCATGGGGATTGGGCTTGTGGGCCTGAGGGCTCAGATCACCTGTTGCAGCCATTTGACATCATTGGACGATTTGTGCTGAGATTGTGTCACAAGATGGCGTGCTTGCGCCTGTTGTTGATTGCCTTGTTGCTCCTTCGTGCTTTGCGTGCTGCCGACAACGGCGATGACGAGGAGCAACAATTACAGATTTGTTCAAGCGCTCGGCCCTCAGCACGATTTCTCCGGGTGTTGCGAGGGTTGAGGTGAAATCTGCGCAGCCAAGGGTATGTTCCGACGACTCGTCCTTTACGCAGTCTTTGCCGCTTGGCTGGGCCTTGCCCAGCGAGTGGAGAAGGTAAGTCCTTTCTTCTTGAGGCGCGAGTTTGAATAAATTTGTTTTTGTGCAGGAACTCCGGAGTTTATCGAACATGATGAATGACCCCCCCTCTTTTGGCGAGTTGCCAAGCCTGTTCTTTCCAGGAGTATCACCGATCGCAGGACCGCAACGGCGGAGGAAGAGGAGGAGGATCGGGCTCCGGAGGAGGAAAAAAGCGTGGCGAAGCAAACAAAAGCCGCCGCTAAGTCGATGACAAGCCGGCAGTACCGTGCTCCCATGTGGCAGCATTGATTATCCATGTTGGCTTGTTTGCGAAGAAGTCTCCGTGTTGGATCGAGGAGCACAGTTGAGGGGCGAGTTACTAGTAAAGCCGAACGAAAGCGTCTTGTGAGCGTTGAACAATCTTGATCACATTGGGAACAAGGCTCGAGACTTTGCACATTGGGCGTCATGCAGGTTGTTTCGGAAACCCGCTTGTTTGACTATCTGTCTCCAAAAAGATCCAAGCACGGATTTTGTACCCCGTGGTTCAAGGATGTAGTAAATGCCGATCGCGTGCACTCTCATAATAGGAATAAGAGACATAGCTGAAGGTGCGGATTAACCCATGTGAATTTGGAGTTTTCCGTCTTGTGACATTTTCCACTTGTTTGGGTGGTGTGTGATGTTTGGATTCATGTGTGTTGGCTTGGTTTCTTGCTGTGCTTTGTTTTTCGCGATGGTTTAGGATGTCTGAAGACCGAGACCTTGCTACTGGTTGCATTTTCCGGTCTTTAAAGTTTTGGAGCCGATGGTGGCCTTCTCTAGCTGCTCCAATAGCGAGTACCAGCTAGATCCTTCCGGTAAATGCTTTGTGGTTTCTTGGAAGCCGAACGCATTCTCGGTAAACCTTTGTCTCGGATGCTCTTGGCGAGGTGGGAGACTGCTTGCAAAATCCATTGTTTGCATCATCCACAAGAAGCGCTGCTGGTCAGCCTCGTTGAATGTGTGACGTGGGCAAAAGCCCAGGCAGCTGATGCTCATGCTGTTCTCCGGGTGGGCGACGTTTTGCACAGTCCAACACCAACAATGCTAATGCTAATCATGCTCGTTTATTAACTGGGGGACGTTGGACCAAATGCCACACAAATGATGCGCATGATGTTCGCCAGGTGGTCCACGGCTTGCAAAATCCAAAACGAAGCATACTCGTCATGCTTCTCGAATGGACAAGGTTGCGTAAACAAGCTGACAGCTGAGGCTCATGATGCTCACTGTATGGACACATGGCAGAATCCAGAACAAAATTGCATGCTCACGATGTTGTCTGGGCCAGCGACGACTACTGCAGTCCAACACCAACAATGCTCATCAGGGTCGTGGAATGGGAGCGGCGGAGCAGTCCAACAGCAACAATGCTCATCAGGGCTGTTGAATGGAAGACGTTTGGCAAAAAACCAATCAGCTGATGCTCATGATGTTTCCTGAGCGGGCGATGGCTGGTGCAGTCCAACAGTAACAATGTTCATCAGGGTTGTTGAGTGCAAGACGTTTGGCAAAAAACTAAACGGCTGATGCTCGTGATGTTCTCTGGGGTTGGCTTCATCTGTAGCAGCTGCATGCCTTGCGAGCGTGTCGATCTTTGAAAGGTTCCTCTATGCAGAAGACCAAGATGCGCGAAGCGAGCTCAAAGCCCTGATGGCCGCAGCAAGCGTTTTAGGATGCGAAACTCGGACCACAAAGCGGCCAAGGATTGTCTAATTAGGTCTATGATGGTCTATGCTTTGCCACCTTGCATGTGGAGCCAATGCGCATGACATGATTGCCTCTGTGAGAAAAGCCCGCTCGTGCCTGGCGCGCTCATGGGCATCGGCTGTCTTGCCTTTCTAGAGAATTCATCAGTCCAGTGAGCAGTGAGCATCGTCAGCAGCTTGAGTTTGGAATGGAGTGAGAGGAATGTGCAAAAATTGGAGCATGAGCTCCAATTTTTTGCTCAGCGTGCAGAGGCAAACGCAGAAAGAGACCGGATAGGTGGCTGACCCGCATTTCCCAGGCGTCCCAGCATCTTGTTCGCCATTGGAACTATTTGCTAGCTGCAACAGATGATATTTAGAGGCAAACTGTCCAACCTTTTGCTTGTAACACAATTTCTATTTAAATCATGTCAATCACTGCGTATCTGTGAAGTTTCAACTCACTTGCATGTAAGAAAGTTGGAAGATGGCTTCATCCGAGCATCCCAATAATGGCAGGGCCGCCCCCTCCCTCAGGTAGAACTGGAGAGCACAGATTTGGCTCAAGCTGGAAGGTGCTTTTAAGAAGCCTTGTTGAGAGGACGACTTTGCGCCAAACGATTTTCAGTTGTTCCTGGCAGATCTCCTTACAAAGCCGTCAACTTCCTCTTACTGGGCTGCGCTATCAGTACGCACAAGGAAGACACCGCCTGGCACTGAACGCTTGAAGGGCTTGAGCCGGCTACGTGATGGTAGCGTTTCCTTATCCCGGACAGCTGAACCGCTGCTCTGAGTGTTCATGCCGCCCTCGGGAAGCGTGTAGGAAAGTAGAGGCCTTGTTTTATCTGTTCAGTGTTGTGGTAGCTTTGTGTCACCCGTAGCCCTTTTGGCTTACCGTAGCAAGGCCACGCGAGCTTAAAAGTAGCGCTGCAGGCTGGCGCCATGTTCGGGTTTTGCAAAAGCAAACGCCGATAGCAAAACCAACAAAATAAGGTAATGGGTTACTCGCCTGTTCCGGGTTTAGCGCCATTTTCGGGTTTAGCAACGCTGGCTGGTGCCATTTTCGGGTTTGGCGAAAGCAAACGCCGATAGCAAAACCAACGAAAAATGTAATGTACTTTAAGTTTGGTGTTGTGTTTATTCTTGGTTTTGGTTTCCCGCCGGTTCCGGGTTTAGCAAACGCTGGCTTGCGCCATTTTCGGGTTTAGCAAAAGCAAGCGCGGATAGCAAAACCAACGGAGAAAGGATGTCCTGTTAGATTTTGTGTTGTGTTTGTTATGGGTTTTGTTTGGTCGCCGGTTTCGGGTTTAGCAAACGCTCGCTGGCGCCATTTTCGGATTTAGCAAACGCCGGCTTGCGCCATTTTCGGGTTTTGAGAGCAAGCGCCGATAGCAAAACCAACGGAGAAAGTATGTCCTGTTACGTTTTGTGTCGTGTTTGCTTTGGGTTTTGTTTGGTCGCCGGTTTCGGGTTTAGCAAGCGCTGGCTGGCGAAATTTCTCGAGGACTGGCTTGGTCGCACAAGGGGATGCTTGCTTGACTGTGTGTGTGTTACTTGGGGAAAGTGATTGATCTTGGTTGCTCGGGATTGTTAGGATTGCAGCTAGGATTGTACGTTTGAATTTTTTTTCTCTCTCTCTCTCTCTCTCTCTCTCTCTCTCTCTCGCTGAAGTCACTCGTTTTTCGCAGGCGCCGGTTTGTCTTCGTCCTTTTTTGGAGCTCCACGGCCCTTGGAGAGACCTATGCCTGCTGTGGCTTGATGCTCTACATGCCCAACCTCACAGAAACCGCTTGGAAGCAGGAGCACCGCATCCAGAGCAGGTTTTAGTGTGGTCATGATAGCAGTGCAGGCCGTTCTTTGGACTTCTTTGCCGGCATTCCTGATGTTGCTGCGCAGCCGCAACTGATGCAGTCTCTGCTTCGTTAACTAGCAGATGCTTTGTTGCCGTTCGCCGTCCTCGGCGAATTATTTCCGAGCTCTCTGCTAGATAGTTCCATGCATCGTGCATTCGTGGTTGTCCTTTCCTCTCACTTGAGTATTGAGCGGCTTCAGCAGCAGCAATCTCTGTCGTAAAGACCCCGGGCAGGCTCCTGTCGGTGGCCACACTGCAGGCGGGAAGCGCTGCGCTCCGCTGCGGGCTGCGCAGGGAATTGCCCTCTGCCCTCCTTTTGCCAGAGGACTCCCCGCACTGGCTGGCCGTCCACGGCCGCCTCATCGAGGCCGGGCCGGGGCGGAAAAAGCCACGGCACGTCACTCGCGGCATTCACGGCACGGCGGCAAAGCGCCGCCTTGGAGGCAAGGATCGTCTTGGACCGGATGGCCGCCATGAACAAGATGCTCGGCTTTGACTGCGAGATGCGTCCGGGACACTCGGCCCATGTCGGCCTCTCGTCGCATCTCCCAGGAAGGAAGAGGTTCTCAAGAAGCTGGGGCCAGCCCCAGTCCACGACTTCTCGAACCTGTACGGCGTCATCACAGCCCGCGCAGGCTCCGAGCATCGAGACATATCGAGACTCCACTTCCTTCACGTCACAGAACACTGGTGTACTCTGAGGCCACGGCCCCTCGCCACAGGCGCTGTATCAACGCCTAGTGCAGCCGGAGACGCTGAAGCTAGTGCCTACGGCAGAAGACGAGTGAAGCCTTAGCGTCAGTCTTCTTCCTACTTCTCACTTTCAGGTGTGTCTGTTCGCCGTCCTCGCCAGTGTTGGGAACATTGAGACATTTGGAATGAGCAACGTTTGGCCAGATGCTCTCCTGATCCAGAAGGGCTGAGTGCAGCCCAGCACCTCGAGTTCACCCGACTTCACCACAGCAGTATACTTCTCGTATCGTCCAGCCAAGGAGATGCTGCGAGAGGAAGCTGCAGACGAACACCTGCACGGTCTGCATGCCTCGAAGGTTACACCACCGGCGCAGAAGCTTGCGCTCATCGTCTCCATCGGCATTCCAGTGACTCTGGCGGCTTTAGCAATGTCCGAGCTGCCAGCGTAGGAGCTGCTTCAGTGCAGTGCAGGCAAAGAAAGCACCTTGACCAATTCCAAGACTTGAGGTGGGAATGGCTTCTGCGGTACTCTCGTTTTCCAAGACGGCATCTCATCGCGTGTACATCGTCCTAGCTGGCCTCACGGGATGCGCGGGCATTTTGTGCGCTTCGTTCCTGCAGCATCTGCAGCACGCTGCTTTCCTGATGGCCGCGATTCTTGTCACTCACATGCTCGCAGCTCAGTTGAGAAGTGCACAGTCACAGTACCACCTCACTCCGGGCGAGGTCTGGAACCCTTCAGTACGCGGTGGCGATGATCTTCTGTGAGGAGTCCTTTCCCACCGACATCAGGGCATCCGCCACAGGCGCTGCGCGCTCCTCTCGGCTCTCTCTCTCTCTCGCCGGAGCCGGAGGCATCGTGATCTTCTGGGGCACACTCTGGTCGGTGTTCTCTCCCCTGCTACTGACAGCGGCGCCTTGTCAGCAACGGGCCGGGCCGGGCCTGTGTGAGGGAAGTTCTGTGCAGGTCGGCGAGCCGGGATTCCTGGCAGTTGCGGCCGTGGCGTTTCTGGTTTCTGCGGTCTGCGTCCTGCCACTTCAGGCTGCCTCCTTAAACAGGAAGACGATATATGTACTATGCGTAAGTATCTCTATGGCCTCTTGCAGGAGACCCATTGCATGGAGCTGAAGGACATGCGTGTATCTTGTGGGCTGTCTTGGGCTGCGAAACATGTCACTTGCTAGGACTTCGTGGAAGAGCAAGAAAGCGGCCCAAACTTCGAGGAGAGAGAGGCGGAGGCGGAGGCGGCCGAGGCGGCCGAGGACGAGGAGAGCGAGCTGTCGGAAGGAGAAACGGACACGGTCGGAGGTGCAACGACTGCGAGTTCCCAAGAGTCAACGTCTGTGGTCTTTGCCGACGGCACCCTCGGTGCTGTGTTGGAGTTGAAGCTGGTGTTCTTCCTTTTGGGGGCCGTGCCTGGGGTGTCGTTTACCGCCTTCTACTCCTCGATGGGCTTCTTGATCGACCGCTGCAGGGATCGCAGCTTCTTCGCACAGGCGGCCTGTCCAGAGTCCCTAAGCCCTAAGCGTCAGACCACGGTCATAAGCAACGACCTGCAGAGGTAGAGCCCAAAAGCGTCAGTCGAGTCATGACGTGTGAAAGTACGGTGTGGCGTTGATGCGATGTGATTATGTGGTGATGTGGGTCGGGCCCGAGCCTCGGCTCCTCACAGGAGATGTTGGTGGGAAACGGAGCCGTGGCGCTGGGTTTGCTGCTTTGGACCCGGCTTTCGGCTTCCATCTTCGCTCGCTTGGTCTTGGGCACCTTCTCCTTGTTCCTGGTAGACCTCCTCATGGCTTTTCCCGAGCACGAAACCGTCATGTTGGCCTTGGGCTTCCTGCAAGGCTTGTTGAACGTCACGGTCCTCAGCACCATCTTGTCTTTGGCATCCGAGCTCTGTGAGAACTGTCGCTCCTGGGTACAGTTGGGCTTTGCGACCGGTGCACTGATGCCAGTCTTGGCGGTTCCATTCACCGGCTTTGGGCCAAAGCGTCTTGTCTTTTTGCCATCTGTGGAGTACGCTTCCAATGTGAGGGTACGTGTTTTGCTTGTATGCCTGTAACTGGTACTTATAGCTCCTTTTCCATGAGCACGGGAAGTCTTGATGGCATCCTGTGAAGCCTCAGGTCTCCTTTGTCTGTGCGGCTGGCATATTATCTTCTGCCCGCACTGTTCTCCCTGCTAGCCGCCATGACTTATGGAGGTGTCTACCATCGAAAAGTGACAGAAGTGAATAGGCTGGGACGGAGAGTGAGGGGCAACTTGGCCGACCTCGTCATGGCCTATGCAAAGACAAACTCTCCTTCCTCCTCCGCGGCCCCGGCTTTGGCTTTCGGCTGTCTCGACAACATGGCCGTTCTCCTTATCCTCGGCGCTTCAGCTGCACGGGGCATAGCGCAGGCCACGGTTCTAGCAACCCTGTGGCGTTCGAGACTCTGAAACGCAAACTACTTGTAGCGATGTCGGAGATTGTCCAGGGTCGGCTTGGGGTTGAAAAACGAGGATGCTTCCTCAAAATCAAACACTACACTCCCACTGTCCTGAAGCCTGAGCCTTAGCCTTGACAAACCCCAAGGCCCCACGTGGTCTCCAATGTCGCTAGCAGTAGTTATTTCATGTCTCTGCCCAAAACCTTTATATGAGCTGCTTGTACGGGGCGGGTCTCGATCAACCTGATTCGGGTTGTCCAAGTAGTCGGGGTGTTGAAGATTGTCCGGCTTTGCTTTTCCACTCTCCAGCTCTGCCCGATGAACTTATGACTAATGAGGCTATCAGTTCGCTGCGTACTTCTTTGCTGGAGTGTTCCCATTCTATGGGGATGCTGCAGCAGCATTGATGCTGTACCTTTACATGATTGCAGGGGACATGATGGGGAACTTGGCAGCTTTTGCGTGGGCGGCCTTCGTGGACTTGCCGAATCTCGGGCGCGCCTTGAAGGAGAGGGAAAGGACTGGGAGCTTAGCTACCGCAGCCGCAGCGGCCACGATGTGCTATGGAGCCTTGCTGCTTCTGCTGCTGATCGCTGGCTGCACTGCGGGCCTGGGTTTGTGGGGTGCGGCAGAGGCCGCCAAGGAAGATACCGATACCAAAGCTCCCATGCCGATGCAGCTCTGCTTTGCGACTCGACCGAGCTTCTGAAGCTCCTTCCTGCAGTGATTCATTCCCCCTCTGAGGTGACGTTCTTCTTCGGTGCTTTTGCAAAGGGCGGGCTCGATGAGCTCCGACTCGTGGGAGGAAAATCCAATGTTGTCCGCTTTGCTCGGCTTTTTGGAAGCTTGCTGGGCCTCCTTGCAGCACTCCTCTGCTGCCACCTGAGCAGCGACTTCTCCCAAGAGATCTCGCCCAGGGCCACGCTCCTGCGCAAGGCCGCTTTGCTACCTCTGACTCTCGGATCTCTTGTCTGGGCAGGTCGGCACTTAGAAGATCATGTGTTGCCTCTGCAGGACCACGACAGAACGGAAGCGAAGAGCATGCTAGACCTTGACGTTCTCTCCTTGTCGCAGTCACGTCGCGAGCTTATGCCTGCAATGGAACACTATGGAACACTGGTAATTCAATGGAAGTCTACGATACGCTGCTCGTGAAGCATGATTTCCACCGAGGCTCCTTCCGATTTTCGATGCCGCTGCAAGTTCAGGTGACTCATGCTGGGAGCTTCGGACTATAAGGGGAATACTAGTGCGAGAAGGTGAGGAAGCTCCCATGGACGAAAGCGCCGAGAGACAAAATTGACATGTTCTCAATCAAAGCTGTTGTGGAATAGCTGCAGGATGCAGGCTAGCATCCTTCTGTTGCCAGTTGCCGACGCTTGAGATGGTGCTGCAGTCCCAATCAAGCCTGTTGTTTGCCCTTTCCAAAAGAAGTCCTTTCCTCGTCATGGGTCGACAAGTGGGACATCAACGGCTGGCCTGCGATACTTGGATAGCTGATAACGGTAGCGATGCGAGTCTTTGGGTTCCTCTCATGGAAGAGCTTGGGCATTCCGAGGCTTTGATTTTCATGCTTTGCGTGAGGGAGGTCGCGGCAGCCCGAGACGCCTTCCAGGTGCAGCAGGCTTGGCCACGCCGGTGACACAACTGGGCACAAGTTGAAAAGCAGCCACCGACACACCGAACACAACCGCGAACAAGAGTACCGATACACCGAAATCCTGCCTGGAAGGATATCTGTGCAAAGCCTCAAAGCTGAAGCAACTCCAGATCGGTCAGCTCTTCCGTGGGCGCTACAAAACGGACGAGGGCACGAGCATTTCAAGGGCGTTCGCGGGTCGGCAGGTTTGGGTGTCGAGCACTGACCGAGGCGACTGACTAAAGGCTTCGTGGACAGCGATGCCGGACCAGCTGGAAAGTCGTATTTCAGCAATTCGAAACAGCTTGTTTTTTTTTTGTACGCCGTACGCTTCGTTGGAACGAGTCTGATCGAATCTGCATCCGTCGCACACTTCGCAAAAGGACTGAAGCTTCAGGGTTTGGGATCTGGAGTTTTAGGCTGGGAAGTTAGCGGGTACGGAATTGGTTTTGGCTGTTGCCATGTACCTGCTGTTTGGTTTTGGGGTTTGCGGCTTGAGGAGGGCTCGGGCAGTGAACGCTCCCTAAACCCTAAACCCTAAACCGTCTGTACTGCAGATGGCAGCCTATGTCGGCAGCACGTTGAGGGCCGGCGATGCACACACAGAGTGGCGCTCGGCCGTGGACGGCAGCAATTGTGGCACAGCTTTTCTTCGATTAGTTTTGCCAGCTGCACAAACTGTGGAATACCTGGGCCCTTAAATGTAGTACCTTTTTATGGTTACCTGAGTTTCTTATTGTAGGATCCTAGGATGCACTCCATTTAAGGGTCGAGGTACTGTGTGTGCTAATTCTATAAGAAAGACTACGAGCTTTCGTCTCCGACTCTGATGCCGTCTCCGAGGTGGCAGAGGCTGGGGAGTTTTCCATAAAGACCATGTGGTCTCTGGGGGAGGCGATCCTTGGCGGCCTTGGCGCGACAGAGGGAGGGTGAGAGCTATCCAGCTCACGGAATAAGCCTTCATCTCTGGCACAGAGAAAGACGACCTTGAGTGCGCAAGTGCGGAGGGTAAGGCGAGTGCCCTCTCCCAAGCCATTGGAGACAAGAAGAGATACGACTGTTACCAGGAGGGGAGAAAGAGGAAAGGACCCCAATCAGAAGTTTCTGCGCAGACAGAAGGATGGCATTGCTTGCGGATTCTAAAGAAATTCGGCTACACATCCTGCAATGTCACACGAGGGTCTGAAGATCTCAAAGAAGCACAGATCGGATGATCGGAGCATGGCCACTTTACGGAGGGAGGCATGCCTGGAACTCGGACCGCAAGCCCACGAAACCAAAAGCCACGTAGAGTCGTAGAGAAAATAACAATGAGAAAGCGCAACCAAGCCCCCGTCCACTGCTTTTTTTCTACATGCTGGACAGAACAATCCTGGCTCTTCTGAAGTGATCCCCTGCATGAATGGTCAAGCGTAGTCGGCAGCTGCGAACGCTCAGGGACTCTTTACGCTGGGCGGAGGCAAACATTACTTTCCGTTTCGCTGGCGGCTCGCATCCAACGCATGTGGAGGTAGCAGGACTGGACACAGTCTATCGGATCATGCCGGACGCGGTTGTCGGTAACCAGGAGATTGACGGAATGGCAGTGATGGCCATCGCTGGGTGGCAAGCCTACGACATCAGTGCAGGCAAGTGGGGGGCGAGTGAGTACTCCAAGAAGCGAGCTCTGTTCTTCCGCACAGAGATGAATCCCTCCGTCGGGCTGACGAAGAAAACTTGGTTAGGCTTGGGACACATTGCCGGACTCCGGGTTTATCAACGTGCAAAAACGAAGGAGACCGGTGATGAGACGATGTACTACATCAATGAACATGGCAAGATGAAGTCCATTGACGTGGACGATGTGACGCAGCATCCTGCGGAACACGAGCAGCTCGGCCTTTATATGTCAGGCTCCGAGAAAGGTGTCTTCAAACGCCCCGACAAAGAATTGATGGCTATGGTGGATGGCATGCTGGGAGAGACCTCATGCTTGGACCTCAGCAAAGCTGTCGCCTGAGCTGACCAGTCGCTGCAAAGTCAGCTGCGTCGGCGTGCGGCTCAGGCTTGGGGAAGGCCAGCAAGTGTGCCTTTCGCTGCTTCTATGACTCCGAGAAGGATGTCTGCGGGCCGGTGGCCTTCTGCGAGAAGACGCGGGCTGACTCAGCTGAAGATGTGCTGGCGCCCTTTGGGGGACAACAGAAGTGTCGGGCTGTCGGAGGTGACACCCACGAAGAAGCAGACAGGGTCCTGGCTGTGGAGGGCTTGGGGAAATTGAAGGAGATGGCCATAAACGTAACTGAACGCTTAAGTGAAAGTGAAGCCGTCTCGTGGTCAAGTTCCGGCCGGAGCTCCCTCAAAGCCTCGGTCGCCTTGTGGTTGGAGGCTGCGGATCTTCTCAACGTCCTCGTCGCCCGGCAGTTTTTGATTTGGGTGCGCAGCGTTTCGAGTTTGGCCTGCTTTTGTGGGGTGTGCTTGTGCGAATTGGAAATGAGGAGACGCTGCCATTGCGACTGGGCGAGAACTCCGGGGGGTTTAAGCTCGCCGCCCGGCGTGCAGCAGACACAGACCTGAAGCATTGGCGTCGCCGCCCAGATCCTCGGAAGCAGCGACTGCCCCCCTTTGTAAGAGTTTATAACTTTGACTTTGAGCTCCCAGCGCGAGCCGCGAGCTCTCAGGATCCGCTTACCATTGACGAATATGAGGCTGCGGCGAAGGCTTCACTGTCCTTCGTCGCTGCTTCACGGGGGTACTCCGTGGCGGCGAAATTGCTTCCCTTCCGCACAGCAAAGAGACCACGACGTACATGACAATTCTAAACAACTAGAGTCCTAGAGCCAACTAAAGCCGCTCGGATTGCTTTCTTTTCGGCAAGGCACAGCGAGCTGGTTTCCTTCGTTGTTAAGCGGCCTTCGCTGCTGATGCACTACACGAAGAGCGAGTCCGACGACAAGTGCATACTTTCGGACAAGACCGCATCGGATCGAGCGCAGGTCACCACCTTCGTGTAACTTGCCAGAAGGTCGTCGCTTGACCACAAGTGGCAGCCTCAGAGTCCTCCCCGCTCCTCCCCTCGTACTGCCGTACTGCAGGAACTACTTCATGAAAGTGCCCGGCTACAACGCGGATGATCTTCAGTCCGTGCGCCTGGACCTGCCAGAGCACTGCCAAGACTTCCTCGCAGGCATGGACAAGCTCGATGTGGAGAGAAACGCCCAGGATGCTTCGGAAGGCCTTCCCGCAGATTTAGGGGCTCTGGGGGTTGAGAGCCTGGTGCTGTGAAGTTGAGGAGAGAAGCTGCTGTCCCCCGGAGCGAGTTTCGGGGAACTGCGATCCGAGCGGCTCTCCAGCGCCATCCGTGCCTGCGCAAATGAGACCGGCTCCCTCTCTCTGTCTCCCTCCCTCTCTCTCTCTCTCAAAAAAAGGTTTCTCTCTCTCTCCCTCTCTCTCTCTCTCTGATAACCTTCTCTTCCTTTCCTTCTCGCTTCGCTTCTGAGGCCCTTTTTCCGTGGAAGCGGGAAGCTCCGCCTTCCAGAGCTCCGCGGAGCACTTCGACTTCGCCGGCACTGAGGCCGAGGCGGTCCATTCTTGGACTTTACCACTGGAACCTGAAAGAACGTGGTGTAAACATCGTGAATTTAAACGCTGTGAAGAAGGCCTCCGACAGTCGCTCCGGAAAGACCGCTGCCGTTTTCAAATGTGACGGTTTGTTGCACCACCGCAACACCACCACGACACAAAAACGCACCACCACAACACACCATGGGCATGAATACATCCTGCAGGCCCAGCAAAAGTTCGTGATCATCGCCTCGATCATTGTCGGCCTGGTATGCCTCCTGTCATGTTACAGTCCCTTGAATTAAAGCATAGCATAGACACACGCTGAGAAATTTGAGGTCTCGTGGTCGCTGGAACTTTCGCGATTGCCGGGTTGGCCAACTGGAACCGCTGCCTGAGCAAGACAAATTCTCCGGGTGGCGAGCACTGCCTTGCCGCTCTCGTGCCTCGGGCTTTACACAATGCATCCAAGCATCCGTTCGGTTTACGTCCGTGCCTGCTCGAGGTTTGTACCGCCCTGGGACTTCTAGTGATATGCGGTGCCCCGGCGTGCAAGCAGACTGCTCTCACCTTGTCACCTTCAGCATCAATCATGTGGCTGCAAGCATAGGAGCCTTCGCGATGTCACTGGTAGCATCTCGGCTGACGTTTGTTTCGGAAGAATTCAATGTGGGCTACCTGGACATAGATGGTGGGTCATGCATGAACAACACAAGCCGGCAGACGGAATGCCGCCAAACCATGACTGTAAGCTTCTCTGCCTTAGATTCGCCGTGTCGAAGAGGAATGCTGTGACAGAAATCGTGCTCCTGAGGGGGTAGGCTTCATGGTTTCCATCAGCTTGAGACGTCGAGCTTGTGGGGTCTCAAGTTTAGGGTCTAGGCTTGGTCAGCACTTGACAGGGCCTTGCAATTGCTGCTTGGTGTGCCTGTCTCTCATGCTTAATGTTCACCAGCTTTCCGACGCATGCCCACTTTGCTTTACTCCGGACAGGGGTCTTTGCGCGCTGCAATTTGGTGCGAGGTCGGCGTAGCGGTGCTGGCCGGCACGCTGTTCTTGCTGCATGCTGTGCGGCATTACTTCTTGCAGACTGGGCAGCGCCTCCACTGCACAGAGCAGTCAGAGCACTGGGCACTTGCGCTGTCCGGCACCTTCGTTGCGAGGCGTGAGATCCAAAAGCCCGTCCTGGCACACCGCGGACATGCAGCAAGCCTAACTGGCATGCGCCCGTGAGCTCGGATGATGCCCGTTGCCAAAAGTGCCTGTTGCGGTGCAGTCCGTGTTTCGGCCAAACGCTCGGAACTCAAAGCTGGACTCAAAACAGCAGCAACAACAGCAGCAGCAGCAGCAGCAGCAGCAGCAGCAGCAGCAGCAGCAGCAACAGCAACAGCAACAGCAGCAAGAGCAGCAACAACAGCAATAACAACGACTACTACTGCTGCCAGCTGCCGCTACTACCCGCTACTCTTCCTCCTCTTCCTGCTCCAACTACTCCTACTTCTACTTCTGCCGCTGCTGCCGACTGTAGCTTTGATAATTGTTCCCATTGCGGGCACTTTCATGTCTGTCGATGTCACTTGCAGGATCCACATGCTGTCGGGACTTAAGCCGCTGCATGGTACCAGATCTGCTTTTGGTAAACGGAACATGATGAGTGTCGAGCTTTGGCTCAGTGCCTGTCGCGATGCGCCACCTGTACCGCTGTGCCGTGCTGGCCCTCCTCTTCGGCACCGTGTCTTCCTCAGCTACTTGTAGGGGCCGCGCCAGCTTCGGTTTCCCTTCTGCGGACCTCTCCGAGGCCGAGGCCTCCATCGTCGATGTCTTGACCAAGGTCTGGAGCTCTCAGCTTCGCCCGGCCCTGTCGAGCCGTACCCGAAAAGCCCTCTCCGCTGAGGTGAAGACGTTCCGCAGCGCCGGCTTGGAGCTTTTCAGCGGCCTGGCGGAGGAGCTGAAGACCAAGAAGGAGGCGTGCAAAAACAAAAGGCGCACGCCAATTTCCAATCTGCTGCTTCTGACTTAAGGGGACTCAGTCCTGCAGGACTCTGCTTCAAAGAAGGCAGAGGCCTTCAGCAACGACTGGTTGAGCGTGCTGGGAGTCCAGAAAGGCCTGACTGGACTGGCCAAGGTGCCTTGGCAGTAGCAGCACAGCGGCCACGGCTAGCAAGCGTGCAGTTGGATGTTGCAGGATTTCACCCTGAACTACCTGGGCAGAGAAAGCCACTTTGACAGCAGCTGCATGCATTTCTCAGCTGAGACGGCAGCTCATCTCGATGAGGCTATCACAATCGCAATGGACCCCTGGTAGATGCTCTTAAGCAGGCAGGGTTTTTGGAGGCCGCCACAACTAACACGGCTTGCATCAGACTCTGGCAGGTATCGGCAACGCTCAGTGCGCGCTTGGGCGAGGCTGAAGATTCCTTGCATGCTGCGCGGGTCATGGATGCATTGTCGCAAGCATTTGAGCAATCTCTGATTCCTTGGGCAAAAAGTATTGCGACAGGAGGAATTAGGGCACGAGCTGCTGCGTGCGATGAAGAAGGCCTGCCTTTTCGGCGCTGTGATATGGGACTGTTGGGGAGCTGGGGGAACACTTGACTCCGCCGTGGGCTGGCTTGAAAACTGAGGTTTGTTTTGAGGGGAAGCGGCTGTTTGCCTCAGGCGGGAATATACGGTGAAGCGGTCTGAACACACGGCGTCGGTGTCGCCCTTGTTGGAGGTGGCTCCCTCCATGAGATGTTGTCCGACCTGCTGGAGCTTTTGGAGTCCAAGGGCGCCAGAGAGGCTTTGATGTCGAAGATCGAAGAGGCGTCAAGACATACACGGCACAGGCCTTGCCGCATGTGATGAGCACCAGCAGAGAGCTGAAGGAGGCGCGTGCTTTAAACTCGAAAAATCTCCGTCCTTTGCTTTGCGTCTCCCGAGGCGCTGAGCTACTTCTCGGGCCCTCGCGTAGCGGCTTGGAAGACATCAGAACACTTCGTGGCTTCTTTGCGTCGCGTCTGTCTCCAGGCCAACGAGGAACTCTAGATTGAAGTCGACAAAGCTGAGAAAGCAGCGAGCCATAGCCGTGTATGAATTCGGATGCATTCCGACCGGACACCGGGCGCAGACGGAGCCCGAAGACCACAAGCCGGAGAGCATGGAGCGTGGAGAGAAAAGTCAGAAGTGTGCGTGACTGCAGCATGACAAGTGCAGCATGACAGCGGCAGTGGTTTGTCGCTGTGCATAGCACAAGCCTGACAGGATGCAGGGATTCTACGCTGGGGATGCCTGAGATGAAACCAAGAAATCTCTTGACGTCAGGCAACATTGGTGGTTACCACGTTGCACTCCCACCGTCTCATGTGACATCAGATAAAGGCCCTAAGCCCCGCGATCCCTTCTGCATCCTTGTAGAAGAACCCCGATATACAGGACATACGATTTTTCCCGAGGGCACACCCTGCTGGGAACGACACGCCTGCAAACATGAACAAGAAGCCAAGCGTCATGTTCGGACCGCAAAACTGATCCTAAACAGTCAGCAGCACTGGAGCAGCAGTATTTCATGTTGTCAGCAGGTCATGACCACGACAATGATGGCAAGTAGCGTCCAACAACCATCTCACGTCTTGAAGCACTAAACTCACCAAATACGAGCTTTAGGCCTGCAGATCTCCAACACACCATCGCACAACTATGCGGCACAGCAAGAGGGGTCCTGGAGACGCTGTGTTGGATGATCAGCCTCGACCGGATTAGGGTTTTGTCCGGATTCCCTTTCGCACTCGGCTCAAGGTGGCCCTCCCTAAGGGAGCGAGGTTGGCCGAAGGGGTATCACAGTGTCCGCGAATTGACCAGCCATCTGAATTTGTCATCGACTGCAGTCAACTTGAGCATCCGCTATATAGTCCCGTAGCAGGTTGGATCCCGTCTCAATGTGAGCCCGTTCGCGCGTTCCATGTTGCCATGCACGGGCTGTCCCGCTGGCGCTGAGCTACTGATGTGATGTGAGTTGTGTCGTACTCCTGTAAAAAGAAGGCACGTACAAGTACCTGTTCGTGGTCTCTGAGGTACGGGTCTGTGGCCAGCAGAGAAGAGCGACTCTCGTCCCTGCAAATAACGGGGCTCAGAGCTGGTGTAAGTCATGGGCATTTGTGGACATGGCCATGGGCCATTTTGCGGCCACGTTTCAATTTTCAACCTGAAAAAGGGTAAACAGATGGCGAGCTACAAGAAATGCGGTTGTTGCAGCATCCTTGGACATCTCCTATTGTGGTTGGATCATGCCGGGTCGGAAGCTCCATGGGGATGCTCAGACATGCGAATCCTTGCTCCTTAAAATCTGTAGGGATCAAGGAGCAAAAAGAGGTCGGCACAGGGTGGAAATGGAAACTGACAATCATGCAAAAGTCTAAGTGAGGATGGTCGGCGGCATCCCCCACCAAGGAGGATCCGTTGTGACTGCGAGACACGCAACAAGTGGGCCTTGTGCACACATTTTGAACTGTGCCGCAGTTCTGGAAAGTCTCCATTGCCAGCGATGTTGCCACACAAGCTGCGACGCAGCAAAAGCGTGTGGAGCCCTGTGAACAGATAGCAGATAGCGAAGTACTGCAAGTGGTTTGAGCCGCAGACAGGTAGGTAGTCTTGCGTGAGTGAAGGTGCAACGGTTCGAGAAGGCCGGAGCAGGGAGCAGGGAGCAGGGTTCATTGCGCGGGTGCTCTCCGGGTGCTCTCGAGCCGAGGGCTTCTACTTCCAGCTAGCGGCCGGTCTCACGTCGCAGCTGGAAGTGACCTTGGGACTGAGGACCCCGGAAGAGGTGCTTTCGCTGGGTGCGAGGCAGTGGGGACTCTCTGGCGAGCTCATGCCAGGCGGCTCTGGGCCGCGAACTTTTCCAGGCTGCGGAGGCTGGCAACGCCAAGCAGGCACGGGCACGGGCAGCACGGGTACTCAGCTGCGGTTTGCTCAGATCACCATCCGTAGCGAAGTTTGAACTTGACATGTTACTCGTTACATCTGCAGGTGCGAAACCTGCTGGCAGAGGCGTTGATGGCAAAGGGCAGGCAGTTTTTTGGCAAAATGCTGCGGGCGCCGCTCGACCAGGGTGCAGATGCACTGCAACGTCATGCAGCCGGACAAGTGCCCCTGCATGTGGCCCGAAGCGCCGAGGTTGTCCTTCGGCTCAGCAGGAACGATGTTTCGCTTTTTTCGACCTCAGAAACTCGTGGATGTCTTGAGGTGCGTGAGTTGATGGCAGCATGCCCGGCAGCTGCCGGTGTCAGGTGTGGCCGTCACCCAGGACAAATATTAATATGTGCAGGCTGCTCACAGGCATCTCGTTGCTTTCTGCAGGTCGTTTACCGGCCAGACGCCTGCGCAGCGCTACATGACTCTCCACCAGAAGCTAGCAGAGGACGGAGTGGAGTCGGAACACACGCCGAGCTTTTTCTTGTGACTTCGGCTTGGGGAGGAGCTGTTGCTTGCCGTAGCGTCTCCTGCTGCCCTTAGACAGCACCGGGTCGCGGCGTCAAAGAAATAAGATGCTGTTTCGGAGCCTGAGGCCTTGGAAGGCTTGTTGGAGCAACGGGCGGGCAGAAGCCTGCTTGGCTTGATGCATCCTTCTTTGGCACGGGCTGTGCGGCTCTCAATGCCGTTTCGCAGATCCGTTGCGTGGACGATTCCTTGCAACCTGGGTTCAGGTGCTGCAGCGGGCGTCTGGCCGAGTCACCTTTGTCCCCAGTGGTTTCGAGGCAGTGGCGGTGCTGAGCCAGGCGAGCCCATCTGCTCGGAGCTATGCTGTTGGCTTATCTGAGATTTGAGTGGGCGGCAGGATCCGCTGTCCTTGGGGGAGCTGCGAAGGCTTTGGCTTCGCCTGCCCAAGACCTTCGAGGCCCGAGTGCTCCAGCACCTCGTCCTCGAGGTGCGAGGGGTGGAAGGAAGGGCGGCTGAGCCGTGGCGGTGCCATGCTCGAGGCCGCTCCGACTCCAGCCACGGCGCAGCAGCTGCAACGTGCCCTGGACGGGCCAAGGGGAGGGATCCTTAGCGGCTTGGCGGCACTTGGCGGCTTGCTTTTCAAGAGCGCCCCAGCGAGGAGACTGTCCTGCGGCATCTTTGCAGTGAGGCCGGTCCGAGCTGTGTGGGACCTTGTGGGTGGCAGGTACAGACGGTTCTGATGCAACGGGTCGGCTGAGACCCGAAGGGGATAGGGCGGCGGTGGAAGGCGGAACCAGGCTCGGGCACTAGGGGGATAGGGTCGGGCTTAGGCTCCTAAACGACGGGGTTCGAGCCGGTTGATACCGGAAAAAAATAGGGACGGCCACGCCCACGGGGTGACGAACGACGAGACGAGGAAGAAGCAGCACAGGGCCTAGGGTTCGGGAAGTCGGGTCCAGAAAAGGGGTGTGGGGCGCCTAGGGTTGGTAAGCCGGGGTGGGGTGCCCTGAAAGCCCTGAAGAGGTCGGGTAGCCCGGGGCTTCGACAGGTGCTCATATCGGGGGCATCCGAAGGGGTTAGGGCAGCCCTGAATTTAGGGGGACGAGGGGGCAACCGGTGGTCCCTGATCTCTGAGTAGCAGATACTCGCAGACGAGCAGCTGCCTAGCATGCATGTGGCCCCGGGTTCTTCACCACGAAGGGGTGAACTTCAAGGGAAGAAAAGATCCAGTTCTGTTCTTGATAGCGGAAGTGTATGGCGGTGCGCCCCGGTGCTGGCACAAGCGGTCCGGTGCGGGGAGCCTTCTGTTGTCGAAACGGAGCTCTTGCGCTCTTGCTACAAGATTTGCATGGGCAGTCTTGCAGCGCATGGATGCAGTCGTAGAGTCTGCTCATGTGGACTTCCGATTTTGGATGATGTGGGGTGCCCATGCAAGCAGTAAGAAGCGCGGCGCAAGCCTGGGTGGCCGAAGCATTGGCAAGCAACTTGAACCGAAGAACAGGCCGTGAGGCCATGACCTTCTCGATGCTCGATGCTCCATTTGCTCCATTTGTCGTCGCTCCGCCGTACAGCTTCTGTAGCATTTGTATGCAAGATGAAGACGACAAACACCGGATGCGGTGGAATGTTCGTGCCTCAAAGCAAAGCGGCTCCATGCACTTCCGACCGGCCCGCCCACCCGTATTCCGGACATGAGGACCAGGTATGCAAAAGCAAAACTGCCACCCTGGCTCTCGGCCAGACTGTTGTGAAGCCTGAAGTCCGAGCCTCTGAAATGCAAGGAAGCCGCCGACCCTAAGCGGCACGAAGAGCTGGCTGAGCTGGCCGAAGGTCTCATGCAGGCGGGAAATGCCAAGACGGGGCTAGCGGCTGACACATGGAGTGCGCAGCTCTAAGCTGGAGCATGTCATCCTGCTCCTCGAATTGCTTATTACCTCCATGATCAAGATCATAGGCATCATCCTGGTCAATATGCACGTATATCATATTACTACCTATGAATCTATCGATCTGTGTGTCTATCTATCTCTCGATCTATCTATGTACCTGTTTATTTATCTGTTTATCCATTTGTCTATCTAGCTACCTAGCCAGGTATCGAAATGAATCTAACCATCTATCTATCTAGCTGTCTTTCTACCTAGCCAGGGCCTATGTGCGTATCTATCTTTTCATCTCATGTGTCTATCTATCTAATTTTATATCTATCTAGCTAGCTAGCTAGCTAGCTAACTCGCTAGCTAGTGTCAACCTGTCTGTCTGTCTGTCTGTCTATTTCTCCAACTTCCATTGTCCATCTATCTATCTCTCCATCCATCCCTCTGTCTCTATCTAGCAATCTATTTGAATCTGAATCTCTATCTATCTCAATAATCCAATCTATCTGTCTATCCATCTGTTTATCTATCTGTCTATCTATCTATCTATCTATCTATCTATCTGTCTCTCTATCTCCAGGGTGCTGACTTTTGCATAAAATCCGCGGGGATTTCAGCACACCATGGTTTAGATATATGGAACAGATCTATCAGACATGTTATGCGCGGAAATTATCAGACATATGCGTGTGAGTTTAAGAAAACATGCGGGTATTATCCTTGCACGTACCACGCGATGCATTTATCATTTACAGGGTTCGCTGGGACAAGCATGCTGATGTATCGCTAATTCTCATCCATTCTCCATACAGAGTGGCTGCCGGAATGCATCCGCACAGAGGATTTGGTCCTGGAGCCGAAATCTGCGCGCACCACACAATGCATTTACGGGCTCGCTGGAAATGCACATGCAGATGTTCAGTAGTTTCTTTCCATCCCTCATGCATTCGGAGTGGCTGCCCGGATGCATTCGACACGAAGGCTCGGTCCTGGAGATACCTCTGATAGTGTTACGTGTCAATTACAGGATGCGTTTACAGTTTACAGTTGCACTGGAACTGCACATGCACGTATTTCGCTACGAATTCGCCGTCCTTGGTGTGTTCGGGGTCTTTGTCTCTTGAAGTTATACCGACATCCTCGCTAATTTTTCGCCCTCCTTGATGCGTTCGAGGTCGTTGTCTCTTGGGTTTTTACCCCACGATGCAGTCACAAATGATATGGATATGCACTTCCATGCAGGTCTGCTGGACATGCATGTTCCCATGTCTCCCCGCTTTTTTCTCCATCCGGACCGCATTCTGAACAATCCCATTTATGATTTCTGACAATTTCTCCGCACATGTTTGATACATCCTTGTAGTATTTCTGATAAACCGTCCCCACGCGCATGATGAATCGGATCTCAGCACCAGATAAATCCGTTTCACGCATTGAACCATGGCGCGCGAAAAGCCATCACCCTACCATCATCATCTTCGCCATCACCATATCGCTGTGCGCAATGTTGTGCAAAGGGGCAACAATGCTGCAAAAGCTGTCTTCTGCCAGAAATGTCAAACATCCTTCTGTAGTACGCTTAAGTGGCGAATCGTTGCGATACCAGTACCTTGTGCATGCTCGCGCAAGGCAAGAATGCTTGTGACAGTGCGTCGAAGTCAAACATCCTTCTGCAGTGCTGTATGTTGTAACAAGGAATTTGTGATTTGTGTTTTTGTTAAAGATTTCTGTTTTCGTTGTTTGGATCTTTCTCGTTCTGCGTTCTGCAGTAATTTGCTTGGCGCTTTGTGCCTGTCTGTTTTTTTGCTATTCTGCCTCTGTGATTTTCCGCTTCTCTGATTCTCTGCTGGGCTCTCCTGCTCGCACGCCGCACGCTTGTCTGCTTATCCGTTCCTCCCTCATCCTTCCGGTCTCGTCCTACTCCGCTTTTCTCCTGTCCGCCCTGCTAACACTAAATAAATTTTGAGGCCCACTAATTGTTATTATTAGTTATTATTATTATTACTACTACTACTATTACTACTGCTACTACTACTACTACTACTACTACTACTACTAGCTATCCCCCCACCTACCAACCACTGGTGCGATCCGGGCTGGGCAGTGGCAGCTTCTAGGCTCCCTACCTGCGGCAGCTGCAGAAGATGCAGGGGCTCAGGCTCCCTATCTGTGAGGGCTACAGAAGTTGCATAGGCTCACTTGCCTTAACTTTCACAGCCGGTGAAGTTGCAGAGGCGCAGTCCCCAAAACTGCGGCAGCAGTTGGAGTTGCAAACTCGACGGGAAGAAACTGCTAAAGCACAGGTGGTCGGATAGTGCGAAAGCGCGTTAAATAGCGTGCAAAACCCAAGAAGGGTTTAACACTCTGAAAAGCTGAAGGGCAACATCTTACAAACATCAAAAACAAAGATGCCAGCTGTACGTGAGGGAGCTCGCCAACACCCCTAAAAGCCCAGACCTAAAGCCCAGACCTCGGCGCAGGAGGGTTTGCTTTTGAAGTCCTGTGTGTGGAGATATTGTTTCGGGGTGTCCGCGAAACAGTGTCGTGATCATCCCCCGAAAAGCTTCCCCTCACCCAATTTCGAGTTTTCGCCGAAAGCCCTCCGAGATCCCAAAAGTCGAAACACAAAGTCCAGAAGTAGGTTTGGTGACTATATAAGAGGGTCCGACATCACGAAAGTACTGTATATACCGAGTCAAACAGCTCCTGTGAAGATGTTGTTCGGGGTGTGTGTCTGTGTAACAATGTCGTCATCCCCCCACTCCCCCCCACTCCCCCGCCCCCCACCCCTTGATTCACCCCTCCCCCCACCCAACCCCAATCCGAAGCCCAATCTTTCCAAAATTCAGGAGTGGATTGTGAGGCAGGAAGAAGTGGTATGACACGACGAACGTGCCGTAAATACCGAGTAAAACGGACGCGCTGTTAAGAGGGTTTGTAGCAGAGGTGGTTGGTAGGGGGGGGGGGGGGCGCCTACTACCACTACTACCATTATTACCAC